GGGAGGAGGAAGGGGGAATTGTTGATATCTGGTACAAATGAATATCCAGCAACAGTGAATGGGTGCTTTCCTCTAGAGCATGGCTTTAACGATGGTTAAATTTTCACACATTATTGAAGACCCCTACCATACCATACATCTATATATACACCCACACTATATTAAAAGTGTGGTATTGAACATTTAGTATAGTCAACCTAGACAATGCTTACAATTTTTTGATTGCAAACAACAATTATCAATTATTGCCATCAGAATTAACAATTATCAGATTACATACATTATTTTACATCAATATTTAATGAATTTACAAATTCATTTAATTGATTGTTTGAAGTATCATATTTTGCATTGAAGTTTAGCTATTTAAGAAGTACACCTCTTAGTTGCCTGCAGGAAATATGAGATCTTCTGCATATTCTGAGTTCCAGTCTCGGTTGAATACATCTAGTAGTTGCTTCTGGAGGGTGTTGGGATCCTCTGAAGGCCCATCTGTAGCAGTGTTATTGACTGTCAGGCCAATACCAGCAGTCACGGTAAAGTAACTTCCATCCCAATTTGAGGTGCCTTTCATATCAAAACAATAAACAGTAGATTGTAATAATGCAAAATGATATAAAAACTGTGCAATAATAGAAAATTAGTGCACAATTTGGGATTAAAAAAAAAAAAAATCATTAGAAGTAAGACAAGGATATCACGACTGACTTGATAACATATACAGTTATATCAACATTATGACACCACCTAGTAATTAAATCATTCCTACAGAATACATACAGCTCTCTGAGTGTAATAATAATCTTGAAGCCATAGTAATCAGTAGGCCTACTCACTGAGTGGAAAGAGGCAATATGTATATAACATGCCTTTCCCAAAGTATACAAACAACCGACAATCAAGACCAGTGATGTATATGAAGAGGCCTGGGGCACCAAGCCAAGGATTTTTCTGGCCCCTCTACCCTGGGGACTGAGTTCAGGTAGGGTAGAGAGCCCATCCCAAGATTTTAAAATTTAAGATTTGATGTTTTTGACATGTTAAGGGCCCCGCTCAACTGATTTCGAGTAAAATGAAAAAAGCTGATGAATCTCACGGGACGCTTTAAAGTCTTGGGCCCCGAGATTTAGCTGGTTAGAGCTCATAGCTTTTACGCCGCTGCCACAAACGCTACATCTTTAATTGGACTGTCGCTTTAAAAACATATAAATAATAATAATAATATGTCGTTCTTATATAGCGCTTCATGCCTTTACAAGGCCTCTAAGCGCTTCACATTACTACCCCGGTCAATTGGATCAAACACATATGGAACACATTGAAACACCAAATTAAATTAGTAAATGAAATTATATTATCATTCCATAAATTGCAGCTAGTAATCAGCGCAGGTTGTGTTGGAGAGAGGCAACCGTAGATAAAGTGCCTTGCCCAAGGACACAAGCAATTTGCACAGCCAGAGTTTCGAACCCCCGACCTCAAGGTTGGGAGTCCAAGCCACAACCGGTGCGCCAACCGCTCCTACAACCAACCAACCGCTTATTAAAAAGATTGTCACTTCTAAAAATCTCTCATTATTAAGTTCAGTTGGATCATAAATACAAATATTTTATTGCCCATATACACGAAATTATGCACTGAAGTTTTAATTTCATAAAAATATCACTCATAATAGTGTAAACAAAACATACTGTAACTTACCAATATATGCAACATTATCTGTTACCATATACTTATTATGGTTTACCCTCACATACGGAATTTTCTTCTGCTCGTCTGTGGAAGTTGGAACTCTGAATAATTTCTGGAATGAAGTCGTAAAGAATATGAGTATGGTGACTCCAAAGAATGAAAAACTTGACGCCATAATTGATTCTATATTTCATTCTTTTATTAGAACACCGTCAAGAATGAATATAGTCCACGATGGTGAAAATACATCAAAACAAAAGAAAAGATAAATTCTGACCAATCAGAAAAAGACATGCAGATCTATAATGTAGGAGACAACATGAGCTGCTGATAAACAAAATGATTATTGTTAAGCAAAGTCTTAGTTAGCACCTTTGCTATAGATAAATAATGCAAGCTCTTTAAAGGCTCTGAGACCTTTAAAGACTGAACTGTATGTCAATTCTTGATTTTCATCATCAACATCTCATCAACTTAGTTTTCAATCATACTTCACACTGAAAGCTTTTGTTAGATAAATTGCCACATAGCATCTTTTGGGGGAGTCGAGTGGCCAATGCTGGTTCATTTCAGCCGCTGTCGCTGTGGAATGATGTGAATGTAGCACCTCTTTACGGTGGCTGAGATAGTCACAGACCACGCCCATATGCAATTCAGCACAATGACGCTGCAAGTTATATGGGTTATTCTCCTACACTTACCTTTACCCTTTACCTCTACCTTTAATATACAGTATTTTTAATGTGCTGTTTCCTGACAAACTCTTTTGACTGATCTCTATCATGGTTGTTAATGTTGTAGCTTTAATGTAAACTTTAATACTCAGACAAGACTTTTTTATACCATTTTTTGCAAACTTATTTTTTTAAAGATTGTCAGAGGAGGGTGGAAAAAAATAAAAATACAATTTTGTTTTCTTATATAGCAAATGGTTTGCCAAAAAGTCTCTACATAGCAGAAAATAACATTTTATTGTTGAACGTAACCAGTGTAGTAATGGCATGGTTAAATGCTTTAAATTCATATAATCAGGAAGAAATATATATCATATTTTTGGAGATTTCAAGGCAGCGACAGGCGTAATAAAAATGAAGAAAAACTTTTTTCTGAAATTTCCACTTTTTTGTGGCGGTGGGTGTGCTAATTGGCCAAATATAAAATTTTAATTTTATTCGAAAGCATCATTATTGGCGAGCGGCAGTTCGCTAAAAAGGTATAAAAAAATGTACAGTTCAGTTTGGTTTTCTTTGATGATTGTGTGGGGTCCTTCTGGTACTAAACTGGGCAGAACACCAGGACACAATGCCTTGCTCTTTTTTGAAGATTGTACAGTACATGCATATGGGTCATATTACACTCAAGAACAATTGATGTCACTTCCGAAAAAATGTTCCACATTTAATGCTTGATTCCAGCCCTCTGATTAAAATACAAGACCTGGATGGATTTTTTTTTAAATTTTTTTTTAATTCACTATAAATGTCATATCATATCTATATAAGTCTATTGGTTTTCCTTAGCTTTAAGCTAGTAATTTCAATCTTTTGTTTAATTTTTGACATATTGTTATAATTGTTACTATTGTATGAGGACTATATTGTAAATATGTTTTTAATTATTATGTGATATCCTCAGTTACCATCATCTTTTCTAATATATTTAAGTACTGAAGAAATCACACAATCACTCACTCAATTATTCAATCAATCAATTAATTACATATTAATATTATTATCTATCAGTTATATCATTACATACAACCAAAACTTACTCTCACCAATGTTAGTTATAATTTACAAGAAATATAGCATTTGTATCATTCACTTACCACATCAACTTTATTGTTTCGAATTTCATCTATAATTTTAAATGACCGAAGGTAGGGAAGCATTTTATATGACGTATGATTCCATATACTCCCTAAAATTTGAACAGTTACTCCACGCTCTATGGCTGCTTTCCTGAGACGGTCATCAATTACTGGCCAGAATCTATACAATGAGTATCAAAACTTGGATTAGATGCGTGTTAGCATGGATTAAATGTGTGTCAACATGATTAAATGTGTATCAACATGGATTAAATATGTTTTAACATGGATTAAAATGTGTCAACATGGATTGAATATGTGTCAACATTAATTAAATGTGTTAACATGGATTAAATGTGTGTCAACATAGATTAAATGTGTCAACATGATTAAAAGTCTGGTAAAAATTAATTCTCAATTATGTTATTTTCAACAATTCTACTACAGTAGTACTGTACAGTACTAGACATAGGCCTAGCCTACTGGCTAAGTTGACCTCAGGTCCAATTATTTAAGTTGCAGCTAAAAACTGCAGCACAAAGAATGATTCTTTTGTTCCAATAACAGTTCTTTGGTGTTCCTGGCACAGTATTGATTTCTAACAATTTATATTTCTTAAGAAAGGTTCTTTCTTGTCAGTAGAAACAGGCCCATACCTGTATGTCAACATAAATTAAATGTGTATTAACATGGCTTAAATATATATTTTTCTTATCAAAATTTATATCAATGTTATAACTGAAATATACATACAACTGTGGAATAGATCTACTTCCATATTCTGGAATAATTGGTAAATAGTCCATGACGGCAATTTTGATGAAACTTTTGGCTTCATCAATAACATGGAGAATGGCGTCAATATCGGACACCCTCCCTTCTGGACAAAATGGTGGCGGAGAGCTCTAATGATAAAAGAAAACAGTGTAATAGTGATGGACATGAAAAAACAAACAAGAGCCCTGCAGGGACCACAGTTGCAATGTGAGCATGTTATATAATTAGTTAGCATCAATCAATCAATCCACTTAGCATAAGTTTTTTAAAGACCTTTCTTTAAGGTTCCTTCCCGTGTGCCAAAACAAGCTTACATAACAAACATACTTTTTTGAAATTTTATCTAGCCATATATCATCAAAATAATGTGTTTAATAAATTGGCGGAAAAATATTAGTGGTGAATATACTCATCGACGGCACTGTGATAAAACGTTATCTTGTCCGCTTTTTGCATGAGTTGGTAATGTTTAAAGGGTGCCCCTACTTGTGCCGCATGAGCGTACTACAGGCAACATAACACAACAAACATACTTATGTCATTTATACGTTATCGTCTACGTGTATCTTCCCTGAACTACCAGCCATTGATTCAGTGGTTCTACAATGTGCAACGAAGAAGTTACAAATGCTAGAATGTTACCCAGATCGATTTTGACGAGTATACTTGTTCCTGGCGCCCTCAGCAACTCCCTGTGGGTGGGTATACTCGTCGTTGGCAGCCAATGTGTTAATCTCTGCACAAATAGATATGATTATTAATATGAGTAATAAAACGTACCGAGAGTACTACCCTGGCATCAGTATTATTAAATGGGACATGTAGAGTATTATTAAAGTTGAAGTCAGTCTTGAGATCTGCTGGCCACTTTGGTGGAACGGTGGCACCATCTTCACCAAGTTTCCAATAGACTTCAAACAGTTTTGACATGTCTTGAGCCAAACAGCTACAGTTATACACCGCTGCACCAAGCTCTTTAACCTTAACCAATATGTGAACAAAATAGAAAATGTCAAATAAGACAGGAAATAATAAGAATAATTATAGACTCAATTTAAAAGTTCATAAACTCTTTGAAGTATTTGACCAGGGGCAGATCCAGAAATGTTCAAAAGGTGGGGGGGGGGGGCCGATATTTGGGCCGATCAAGACAACCCTATCCTAGGGGGTCCGGGGTATGCCCCCACAACATTTTTGTGTTCTAGATGCCCAAAAATAACATTTGAGGCGTTCTAAGCCATCATTTTTTTCTTTTTCTTTCTTTTTTACCTCCTAAAAGGGTGGGGAGGGGGTGCCCCCAGATCCGCTCCTGTTGACTCTGTTGTTTGTATAATAAAAAACTGTTACCTTCTTGATTTCATGTTGGTAATAGCTTTTGCTGTTTTCAGAACAGCTTCATTCAGTGATCTAACGTCCAGCACATACTGCACCGATACAATGTTTGTATTTATTTATTTTATTCAATTTCCAGGTAAGCCAATTACAAAGAAACAATGGAAGACAAAATGAAAGGTCTAGCTGAGAAGTAACAGTATTCTGTGGATTGCCCAATGTGCAAAACACTATCAGAGTGGTTCTCCAATACCATACATAAATCAAAATAGCATAAATACCAGGGGCGGATTCAGAGGGGTGGGGGGGGGGGGTTGGCCCCGTTCGGACATCTCTGGATTCGCCCATGAATACAAGGATAAAAACACTTATTTTATGGATCGAGAATGCAATGTGATGAGATGTGTAACAAGCTATTTTTAGCGACAATCCCATCAGACTGCCAGCAAACAGCTGATGGCATTATAACATTAGGCCCTTGCAGAGAATGGGGATGTTTTTGTTGACTGTTGACTGACAATCATGGGAACATTGCATTGAATAATCACATGACAGGACTTATGCTGCCATGTGATTGAACAATCACATGACACCATAATTCCTTGTTTCATTTTTCTTTTAAAAATAAATTCTTGTGGGGAAACAAAGGTCAACCAAAGCACGCTATTTATCAATAGAGGTACTGCATTATATACTGCAATTCCAAGCTAACAAATAGTTTATTATTAAATAATGAACGCCAGCAGTCAATATAATTTTATAAACGGATGCTCATTTTATTAAATGCCAAAATGCACTATGTAACGGTTGTAACCAAGGTTTTAAAAGGTTGTTGCACTATTTTTAATAATTATTCCACTTTTGAACTATAGTCTTGGCAAATCGGACCACCATATGGCTGCTATTAACAAGCACTATATTCATGGTTTACAGTGTGTTTTATCTGGGTTTTGTAGTAAAACAAGCAAATTATAATTATGGTTGTAATTGTAAAACTGTAATTGAATTTCACCAGTAGTGTAATTGTAACTGTATTTGTAAATACAGTATATATTTATAAATCGATGATTAAATTGAGGGGGTACTAGCTCCCAAAATAAGTTAAATTTTAAGCATGATTTTTTGCTTGAAATATTTTTAAGGGGGGGGGGGGGGCGCGACTGGGGGATGCCTCACATCCCCTGGTTACGCCACTGCTGAATATGTGTATAGTGTATAAACAATCTATTGGCAGAAAAAGGCTATTACAATAAATAACAAGTTATCAGAAGAAAACAACTAAATGAGAAGCATGCAAAATACAGTATATCGTACCTGAGTGAGGGAACGAAAATCTATGTTTGCGCTTCCAACATAAAAATGTTTATCATCAACGAGCCACATTTTTGTGTGCAAAATTCCAGCACCCATCAGCCTGGTGAAGTTCAAAGCTCGTGCTTCGGCAGCTTTTGCTGCTACAAGTTCCTCAACATCTAGGTTTGGCAGGTAAGTACCATCTGGAATGCTATGAGCAATTCTGATTTGAATGCTTCGATTTGTACCAGCTTTCATGAGTTCCTTAAAAATTGTCTCTCCCTAAAAAGATCGGAAGCAACAGGAATTTAATAAAAGATGTATTTGATACAACCTTATTGGTGTACAGAGGTCTATCAAATTCCCAATTATTAATCTGAGGTACTATTATTAATACAAGCAATCAAGAAGGACAGAGTTCTTTAAATATCAGGACCAGGTAAAAATAACAAAAAGGCACAATTTTCAACTAGAGTATTCACTTCAGGGAGTGCATACCTGTACCTCCGCCGTGTGTCTGGATACCAAACAATACGAAGGCATGGTATGGGTGATTCCATTATTTTCCTTTATGCTTGAGGGTAAGTTCAAGGGAAAAAAAATCAAATTTCTGGCAATATCCTTACATTTTTCTTCCCAAAAGTTAATCATCTCTATCTTAATATTATGCACCATCTTAATATTATGCACCATTCCACTATATTTTATGATTATGCATTTCTTGCGCAATCTTGCTGACAGACAGACAGTGGTGAATATATAACCTCCTTGGCGGAGGTAAAAAATCAACATAAGGATCATGATTTAAAAGTGACAGTTGGTGGTTAAGGTGCTTTTCTTTAAATCCCAAAGTTTGGAGTTCAAGCTCTGTAAAATAAAAAAATGTAGAAACGATTTTAAAACAATACTGTAATTATACCTCTTTGGCTGAGGGGAAATCACCACTAATATTCAGATCATGCGGACGAAGCGTCCAATAGAATGAAGCAATATCAATTGTCTTCTCAGCAGAAAGTATCAAATTTAACCATGTTTGGTAGGTGGAAACATGGGAAGGGGCACCATCAGGATATGTCAGATTCTCCGGTATGCTCTCAACAAGAACAACTCTGGAAGAGGAGATAAATCAATCAAAAATCAAATTTCCAGAAAAAAAAAGGTGGTAGAAACTATACAGGAAAGCAACAAAGTAGGCCTATACTCTTGTTCTCACTGTAACATAATGTTGCTCAATGCAGCTCATTGTAATGGCATCTCAGCCAATCACAGGTTGCAGATTCAGGATGTTTACACATTTTAATGGCATCTCAGCCAATCACAGGTTGCAGAATCTGGACGTTTAGACACTTTAATGGCATCTCAGCCAAATGTTTAGAATACATTATAATGATCAGTGCTCATGCCAAATTATACTTGAAAATAATTTTTAACAAACATATAAAAACAATATTCCTTTACTCTTTGCAGAAACCTTTAACTTGGCTGATCAATTTAAGAATTTTGTAGATAAGATAAGATAACATTTATTGTCCAATAAAACAACTGGAAATTTGTTTTCTTCTGGGATATGCAAGATACAAGGCAAGATTAAAGTTAAAGTACAATATTTGTTAATATCAGTGAAAACATAATTATTTCATTGATGCACTGTACACTCAAGCATTTATTATCCTTTTAATGAGCTGTTCAAGGTTTTAATACTGTAAATTGATTGGTAAGGCCCATTAAAAAAATTTATTAGTTTATCACCCCTGCGCGCATGTTTTCTATGGTACTGAAAAAAATTTTTTTTTTGCAAAAAAAAAAAAAAATTAAAAAAAACCCCATTTCAATTTGTTTATTAAAAAAATTTTTTTTTTTTCATTTATTTATTTTATTAAATAGTTCGTAAGATATTGTTTGCATTATCTGAATCGTGTTTTAATTTGAATATCAGTGCACCAGCAAACAACCCAAGGTTGATATTTGGCTTTAGCAAAAAAAAAAAAAAAAAAAAGCCTCCCTCCCTCATAA